GAGGAGGAGGAGGAGGAGGAGATTTCAATGCCATTTTCAAGCAACGGTTTTCTCAGTGGCAATGAAAACTGGGCACTGAGACAGAGAAAGAAGACAGATGGATAGACGCTCGGCCGTATGGATACGAGAGCTTCTGCTAAGAGCGCCAAGGGTGGAGGAGGACCCAGTGAATCCGTTCTGGACCAAGGAAGGGCCAAGTGGTCCCATGAGGCAATTACCAGGAATCAAACTCGCATGTCTGATGCGAGTGGAGGAAGACTAGGAAGAGGGATTATACTTCCCGAAGTTGAGGGAAGGGGAGACAGTGGATGGGGGGGATGCGAGGAATTACTGGTAGGTCTTCAAGGAATTGTTACTCCTGGAGGCAGGTAAAGATGGTAGACGTTTGTCCATGCTGTGCCCAGGAGCCGAGCCCGACGATTTGCTTGCGGGCATGGCAAGATCAACCCCAGCCGCATCTGAGGTGCGATGGGGTTGTGCCCGTGGTGACGAAGGCTCGAGGGATGCCTGGCTCAGCTCACAAAGGGCCGCCCCAAAGCAGCAGAGAGGCACTGACATCTTGGAGGCCACCGAGCCATGGCAGATGTGCCATGAGGTGCACCAAAGGCTGAGGACCCAGAGGTGGCCTCTCGCTGCGCCCCCAAACTCCCTTCAGACTTCCCCAGAGGAAGCCGGTTGCTCAGCGACTTCTGGCTCCTGCTGCGGGAACAAGGGTGCCAGAGGAGACGAGGGAAGCCTTTGACCCAGTGGACCCTCCCAGGAGAAGCAGGCCGCCCATGATGTCCGGACAAGGAAGCGGGTGGACGCGGCTCACAACAGCACGTCTTCCACTCCAAAGAAGAGGCCGACATTTGGACTCTGTACCGGCAGGCAGTCGCAAAGAAGGAAGGAAGAGGCGGCAAGGTGCGGAGGTGCTGGAAGCAAGACTGGCACGCAAGGCTAGGGAGGCACGAAGAGATCTAGTGAACGGGGCTGGTCAGAAACCCAGATTTCTTTGCCCTTCTCCCAGTTTCTTCTCCTGAATTTCCTATCCTGACGATTGACTCATTTTCTGCTCTTCGAGCAATGCTGCTTAACCCAAATAACGTTTGCATCTCAGGAAAACCACGGACCCTCTTAGCCAAGCTGCACAACCCCCCCCACCGCCCCCATCCTGAAGCAGCAGCCTTGAGCAATCCCGGAGGGACGTCCACTCACCGCCTCCGTTGCGATAGCAGAGATACGGGAACCGCCACACGTTCCCCAGGCCCACACAGTATCCCAAGCAGGAGAGCAGGAATTCGTACTTCCCTCCCCACGTCTCCCGGGGTTGGCTGGGCTCAGGGGCCGGCGTCGTGTCCTGGACCGGGACAGATGGCTCCCTCTGGGGCAGCATGGTGGATGGCAGGAAGCACCCCTCCAGGCCAGCCCCATTCGGTTGGGTGACTCTGCCCTGTCGCCCAAGGAGAGATGAGAATGCCAGTCAGGAGCACAGCGGTCAGAGTAGAAGTCCTCCTCCTCGGGGGAAGTGGTCCCCTCCTGGTCCAGGGCCTCCTTTCAGTGGGACCCTTTGCACCAAGAACCTTCTCATCAGGAGCGTGCTCTCCTGGCTCCATCTGCCCCTGGGTCTGGGGGACAGGAGCGTGCAGACTAACCTTCTCTGCAGCTGGACCAACCAATGGGGAGCAGCTTGAGGGCCCGAGAAGGGTTCTGCAGAAAGCCCAGAGAAGCTCTGCCCCGACACCTGTGAGGATCTGTTCCGAGCTTTCTGCCATCAGCTCAGAGCCGTCCTCAGGGCGTGGTCAAAAAAGTCACAGAGATGCAACTAAAGCTCTGCCTGGTTTTAAGGCGGAGCTTCAACTGCGCCGCTGCAGCGGCCCTCTTGACTTTTTTGACCACACCCTGCAGACGCCCCTGCTTGGGCTTCATCCCCCACAGCTCAGCAGAAACGCTGGGTGCTCTGCAGTGCAGAGAAGGTCCTCAGGAGTACCTGCCATTCCCCAGGGAGACTCCCAGGACCTCAGCTGGAACTCCAGCCAGGTCAGCCAAAAACCCACCGGGCACCCCGGGAAGCCATCAACCTTCAGGGACAGGCCAAACGAGTGGAATCCTAGCTCGGCAGAGAGGGCCACCCAAATGCGACGGATGAATCATCTAGAAAACTGCTCTTAATTGCTGGGGGTGTGGGTGTGTGTGCGCCTTTGAGTCAGTGTTGACTCCCGGCGACCGGCTGGACTAGTCCCTGCAGTTTTCCTGGCAAGGTTTTTCGGAAGTGGCTTGCCCCGGCCTTCTTCTCCCGGGGCTGAGAGGGAGGGACTGGCCCAAGGTCACCTGTTGGCTTTGTACCTCACGCGGGACTAGAACTGACGGTCTTCCGGTTCCTGGCCTGGTGCCTTCACTGCTACACCAAGCCAGCTTAGGGTTTAGCGGCTACAAAACCAGGAGGAGCCCACGCGTTTCCAGGGCAGCCGCCCACCCAGCCCCTCGTGGGTACTTCAGTGCAAGTCTTCCTTCAGACGCTCACGAGACCTGTGTTTGGCCCTGAAATTCACGCGTGGGTGAGTCGGGAGCTCTGCTCTTTGGACAACCTCTTGTGGAGTGAAAAGGGGAGTGCAGCGTCTCTGGGAACCTCAGAAATTTCTCAGGCCTCTTTCACCCCCTTTCAGAGATGCCCTGGCATCTCTGTTTTCCTTCCACCTGCGGCTCCCAGGAAAGGCACCGTCTGGCCAGCTGATCACTCGCAGGCTTCTTCAGGCAGATGCTGCCAAACGACGCAGAACGTGCCAAATATGAAAATGACCGGGTGGTATGAATGAGGGCAACTCCACAAGCTCTTACATGAAGGGTCGCTGATCTTCTCCACAAAAGCGGGTTGGATTGCCCATGACCCAAAGGCCACTGGGCCTCACTCCTAGCCCCCTATTTCTTCCTGGACACCTGACCCAAGCACAGCTGTCTCAGGGTCATTGCTAGGCAGGAGGGAGACCGCCGAGGGGCTGCACATCATTTGAAAATCAGAACAGCAAGAGAAGGGGTCCCCAAAGATCCGGTGATGGAGCATGCCAGCCCTCCCAAGGCCTGTGCCTGCCCGATGCCTTGGACTACAGCTCCTGTGATCCTCTCCTGCTGCCTGGGGTTGATGGGAATTGTAGGCCAACACACTTGGAGAGCCCCAGTTTGGGAGGAGCTGGATCAGGCCCAGCACAAGCCACTTCTGAGGCCAGGAACGCAGAATGGCTCAGATCACACCCGCTTTTAGCTAACAGCTCAGCAGCCTTCCTGAACTTGACTTCCAAGGCACTGTGGATTACAACTCCCACAATTCCCCAGGCTAGTTGTGAGTCACAGGAGTTGAAGTCCTACATAAAGGAGCAGCTGTGCCATGCCTGTGTGTGAGAGAAAGATGGAAGCGCACGCACGGTCAGCAGGAGGATCCGGCTGCGGCCGCCAGAAGTACCTCCACAGGCTCTGAGGGATGCTGGCTGAAAGGACTACCCCCTACCCCGAAGGTGAGGACCCCAGATGGACGCCGTGCGGCCCTCGGCTTCTCTTGCACAGCACAGAGAGGGGAGCCCCACAGCGTCCTGGTGCCCTCTTCGGACCCCTGGATCCACGCACACACCGGGGGAAGAGTTGGCCCTCAGCCCGGGAAAGGGGACAGGGCAGAGAGTGAGATGCTCCCTGGCACCTGCTGGGTCTTCCTCCAGCCCCTCCTGGCACTGCAGTCTGGATGCCACCTGCTCGCCAAACACACCAGATTCACGCTCTGGGTCAAGCTGGGCAGAGGGAGGCCCTGCCCAGCTGGGTCAGACCCCAGTTCCCAGGATTCCCAGCAGACTCAACCGAAGGCCTCGCAGGCAGCTGAGGGGTGCCATGAGAGCCTGGAAGTGCCGGGAAACTAAGTGGGAATCAGGCCCTCTTCCCCGGCAGATCTCCCTGGAGATGGGCAGCCTGGTGAGGAAGCAGGTAAAAGTCCTCCAGGTGATGAAACCGCAGCCCCGTGGGCCTCCAAGGTGGAAGGAAAACCTTGGCCAGTGAAGAAGGGGGGTGCTTCGACTCCCCCTCAGAAGAAATGTGGCCCCATCCAAAAAAGGTCAAGAAAAAAAGTGTTTTAAGTCACTGAGGAGCGGAAGCCGCTTTCTCCGGAGGTGCTCAGCTCCTCTTAAAAGAACTTTAAACCAGATGGCTTTGAACGCAGCCATGAAACTCCTCGCAGGACCCCTGCAGACCAGCCCCTCTTCACGGACTTGGTCCAGACCACCCCTGCTCCTGGGGACCCAGAGGTGAGAGCCACCCACAGGTGACCAGGTGCCTTGGCCCACAGATCCCAGCTTTGCTTTGGGTGGAAGAAAAAAGCGTGTGTGGATTCAAACACCCATCTTCTTAAAAGGAAAAGAAAAAAAAAGGAAGCACCAAAACTAACCAAAGAAGTACTGTAAAATGCGCAGATGTTAACTGAGGAGATTTTAACTGGTCGTCGCCCAGGGCCCTCCTAAGCGGGAGAAGCTGCTGCGGGACCGACTGCGAGCTCCAGAGAGGAGCCGCATTCCCGGCCGGCCGGGCGCTTCAGGAAGCGACGCCTTGGTTCGACTCCCCAGGGGGAATCGGGGGGCCGATCCGGCTCGGGGTGCGGGAGGGCTGCCGCAGCCCTTCTGCCTCCTCTTCCGCAGAGCCGGGGCCCTTCGGGGCACGAGGCTCAGGCCGCGGTGGCGCTCGCCCCGCCGCGTCTCCTGGGAGCCGGGACCTTCTGCGCGCCGCGCCTTCCTGCCAGCCCCGCCGGGCCGGCTGCGCCCCTC